CTAAATTAATATAAATAACATTTCTTTAAAAAATACATGAAGACCCCATTCAACTGAAAATTGATTTTACAATGTACATATCAATATATTTTGTTATAATTTTATTACTTTATCTGTCACTTAAATCTATGGTCACTTTCCTTTTTTTTGTCGTCATCGAAAAATATTCTCGTTTTCCTTTTAAGTAAAATATTATTATATTTTTGTTTTTTTTACTATAAAAAAGTAACAATTATTACTCACTTTTATTAATTCTCGTCCCCAATCAAATGAGCACAGATTTGCATTACAGAGGGAGTATTTACAATGTATCTAGTCTATAGTTATATGTATTTTAATACTTCATCCGTCCCATAACAAAGTATCCATTTTTTCATTTTAGTATGTCCATAACAAAGTATCTATTTCATTTTTTAGTAACTGTACTATCTACCTAACATTACAAATACCCTTACAATTTACAATATATTATACAAATATCATTACGTTTATATCACACATACTAACAATGTTATTTTAGTCATTTCTACTTTATTCATACTATATCCCAATATAATATTAATATTTTTAAAATTACGTGCAAAAAGCAAATGGATAATTCTTTTTGTACTGATGGAGTATTTATGATGTATCTAAGTATACAACTATATATTGCCATATTTTGTCCATATATTTTGCAATATTTTATATTTTGATCAGTTCATATATTTTTCAATATTTTTAATAAAATAATTAACAACACTTCGTATTATTAAATCACTCAATAAAACAATAAATATATATATTTTTCTTTCATTTCATTACTTTAATTTCATTGTGTAAAAGATCGAATATTTGACGATATTGGGATGGAGAGTGTATATTTTTTTATAGTGATTTTGGATTATAGCACATTTGTCTTTAGTTCTTTAATACTTGATTCATTTAATTGAGATTATATCTAATTATTTGAGTTAATAATTTCTATTAAAGACGAGTGTGTTTGATTAGATTTAAATTTGAAATTTGTTTTCATATTTGATTTAAATAGTACTCCCTCCGTCCCACATACCGTGTCTGCTATACTGTAGACACGGTATTTTATGAGGGGTGTAATTAATAGATAATTAAGAATGTATTAGTGAAAATAATTATCCGATAATATAAATAATTATAAATTAAGATTAAGATAACTAATTAGTTTAATTAAAATAAAATTAAAAAGTTAAAAATGAGATTAAAGTGTGTAATTATTTTCCAAAAGAGGAAAGTGATATGGGATGTGGGACGGACAGCAACGTGGACATGGTATGTGGGACGGAGAGACTATTCTGATATTCCCTCATTCCAATTAAATTGTCATATTTAACTTATATACAGAGTTTAGGTATTGTATAATTTAGTAAGTAATTAAGAAATATATTAGTGAAAATAATTATGATTTAATAAAAATAATTGTAGATTAAAATTAATATGACTACAAAATTTAATTAATATAAAAAATTATAAATTATAAATTTAAAAATATGATTAAAATGTATAATTATATTTCCAAAAAATGAAATAACAAATTATGTGGGACGGAAAAAAATATAAATATTTGACAAATTAAGTGGGACGGAAGAAATATAATATTTTGTGAGATTAAATAATATTTTCTCCAACACGATTCAAAGTATTAATTTGTTTTGTTTTGTCTTTCTATAGTAGATTAAAAAATAATTTTATTTTTTTATTTTATATAACGTGGAAATTCGCAATCACTATTTGACGAGTGCGTACCAGGTGAACACGAGGTTAAATAGTACGCTACAAACTAAGTATGACAAGACAAATCATACTTGGCGAATTATATATGGCAAAACCTGTAGACATCGAGGGTTTGAACCCATGACCTTATGGTCACAAGTTACCCGGTCATCTCTTACGAGGTTATTTTTTTATTAATAGAAATGTTTACGATTATTTTGATAATTTTTTCATCACTAAGTACAAATGAAATTAATATTCTTGCAAAGTTATAAGTGTTGATAATTTTATATGACTAGCTTTTGCTATAATAGAAAATAAATATTTTTAAGATATATACAAAAATAATAAAAATAAATAAATTGAACTACGACGAATATAATATTATATCCGTCTTTTGACAAAGTATACATATTTATATTTTAAATTTTTTAACTACAAATTAAGTATTTCATTAAATATTTTATTTTTTTTACAAATATCTTTATTTTATTATTACATAACAATTTTCATACAAAAAGCAAAGATAAAATTATTTTCCTACTAATTTTAATTATTCAAAACATTTTAAATACTGTTACTATAGATGAAAGTTCAATACATTTTAAATACTACTTCCTCCGTTCCACAACTATAGTCTAAGTTGTGTTTGGCACGACATTTAAGAAATATTGATATTATATTAATAGTGGGTAAAAAGTACGAATAAAATATTTTTTTGCCCTTGTGAGTGTATTAGTGTAAAAAGTAGTGACAATCGTGTAATAATAATGAAAAAGTAAGGGTAGTTTTATAATGATATAATTATTTATGGAAATGAGACTATTATTTTGGGATGGACAAAAATGGTAAACATGACTATTGTATTGGGATAGATGAAGTATTACTTTAGACTAAATGAGTATATTTTTATTGAAAATTATGAATAAAAAAATTAATTTAAAATTTCACTATTAAAAAATTAAAATTTAAAATCTAAGTTTCGAACCTACGCACAAATGAAAAGTATGAAGTTATTCTTTTTTTTCTCAAAATATATATTTTGTATATATAATACTCCCTCCGTCCTATAACAAAGTATTCATTTTTTTTTAGCAACTGTACTATCTATCTAACATTATAAATACTGTTACAACTTACAATATATTACACAAATGTCATTACTTTTATATCATACATACTAACAAGGTTATTTTAGTCATTTCTATTTTATTCATACTATATTCTAATATAATACTAATATTTTTAAAACTATATGCAAAAAGTAGATGAATACTTCTTTTTGGGACGGAGGAAATACTTCGGAGATAATAGAAAAATAAAATGTAATCAATGTAAGGATAGATATATGCTAAATATATATATATATATATTTAAAAAAATACATTATATTTTGATATAATCGTGACTAATCTATAATTTATGACAAGGGATAAATATAGATAATAATTTATTTATTTCACATTCATCTTGTAGATAATAAACATTAATAATTCAAAATAACTTTTCACCTACCTTTTCATACAAATGTATTTTAAAATATACCAGGGTGTGTATGTTTGGGGATTGGATTTTGAGTTGGAATTTTAATAGTAACATTTTTTAATTTGAATAGTTGTATGATGTGATATAAATAGGTGTTGATGTGATGTTTTGATTGTAAAATTGATTTTTGGTATAATATACTATTTCCGTCTCAAAAGAAAGAAGTGTCTTATTGAAAGTTGGCACGAGATATAAAGTAGAATGTAAATGACTAAAATGTCCTTACTTTTTTAAGTATTTTAAAGAGTACGTTAGAGTAATAATTAAGGGTAGTATGAAAAAGTAGGAATAATTTTGTTATAAAGTGGGGACCACGGCTATTAAATAAGGAAACAAGACGATTGTTTTGGGACGGACGAAAATGGAAAAATAAGACAAATCTTTTGGGACGGAAGGAGTAAAAAAAAAAATATTTGATTTGATGTTTTTTGTGAAAAAAAAAAGATTGAATAATATATTTAAAATTCAATCCAAGCAATAAATTCATTATTAATATGGGATGTGGTCTTTTATAATTATTTTTTAAAATTTATATTATTCAATTTTCACATATTAGGAAAGCATTTGTATTATTGAACAACCAAATCATTTCATTAATAATTTAAACCCATTAATTTCACTTTCTTATATATCAACAAAATATTTCAAAATTCAAATATTTACTTAAACCCTAGCCTATTTTAAATTTAAATTTTTATAAATATAATATAAGTACAAATTAGTATATCAAAACGATTAATTTATTTTTTTTTTAATTATAGGAGTAATATTTATAAGCAAATTTATATAGTAACTAAAATAATGTATTATGCAATAAATTCATACCAAAGTCTCGCGTCATAAATTCACCTTAATCCCAACCACTTAATAAATAAAATAAAAACTTTGTTCCGCAACATTTTTAAATAAATTGATTTTTTGGTGTGTGATATAAAATGCGTGTCAAAAAATATAAAATATATTTTCTCCACTCTTTTTGAAATGGGTAATTTGCAGTGTATAATTACTTTATTTTTTTTTAAAAAAATATACTTTAAAATGAAACGAAGATAAATAGTAAAAATAATATTTTAAAATAAGATGGAAGAAATATTATTTTTAGTAGAATATTTAATATTTTAAATTTTTTGTAACAAATATTTAATTTAATTTTTTTTATTTTTAAAAATTTTATGACATTTTGTGTATTATTTATTATTATTATTTGGAAATTGCAATTTAAGAATTTTGTTGAAAGAACAAAATAAAAATAAAACCTTCTAATTTAATTAAAATAAAAATAATTAAATTAAATGACCAGCCAGGACTCACCTGTCGTTTTCTCACCAGCACTCCTGTCTTCAACGCTTATTTAATCATTACAAACTATCCGTAAACCGCAAACCCGCCCCAAAAGAATCTTTATTTGCAAAACCACCCCACACGCCTTTCGCGTGAAATCCACACCAAGACTTGTACATACTGCATGAACAGTTGTACGCATGTTCTGGAAGAAGCAAAAATCAACCTGGAAATATCAAAATTTTTCAACCGAGGCAGGGCCCACGATAATTTTTCCCTCCACTTGAAAAATCAGGGCCTTTATTTTGTCGCTTTGTTAATCGCATTGAGATTTTCAACGACGAAATCTCAGCCGTTGGATCTTTTTTTCGTCAGCCGTTGGATTGAAATCTCGAGTTTGACTCGGGGGGTCGTCTCCCACCCTCAATATATTCCCCTCATCTCTCGTTTCCCCAGTTCACCCTAAATCCCTCGAACGGATGAATTTGCTCTGAAGATTGGGAAATCTCGATTTCTGCAGGTTTAGCAGTTTCTATTTCGCCGGAGAAATGGCCGTGGAGATGCTCGGCTACGGGAATATGAACGAGCAATTGGCGATTCATGAAGAGGCTTCCGCAGGATTGAAATCCATGGAGCATTTGATCCGAGCGGTTTCTCACCACCAACAACAGCCGCAGCAGCAGATTGATTGCAGAGAAATCACAGATTTCACGGTTTCGAAGTTTAGGAAGGTGATTTCTATTCTGAATCGGACTGGACACGCTCGGTTCAGGCGCGCTCCGATTCAGCCTTCGCCGGAGTCGTCGGCTTTGGTTCGGATTCCTCCGCCGCAGAGTTTTGCTTCTGAAGAGTATCACCGTGAGCCTCTTCCTCTGTTCTCTGTTTCTCCGGCTGCGCCTCAGCAGTTGACGCTCGATTTCTCGAAGCCTGGAGCGTCTCTAGGAAAGGATGGGGGCGGAACGATGGGGAAGGAGGGGATTAGTTTGTCGGCGACGCTGTCGTCGTCTGGAAACTCCTCGTCGACGTTTCTGTCGTCGATTACCGGCGAAGGAAGCGTCTCGAACGGAAAAGGCGGTTCGATGTCTATGTTCTTAACGCCGCCTGCTCCTGCTGTGTCCGCCGGTAAACCTCCGCTCTCCGGGAAGAGGTGTCGCGAGCACGACCACTCTGACAACATCTCCGGCAAAACATCGAGCTCTAGCCGCTGCCACTGCAAAAAGCGGTATGTTACATAAAACCTAATCTCACTTTCGTGGAGCTTCAATCGTTTTTAGTGAAGATTAATCACAATCTACAGATGCATTTACTTCAAAATCAAACGATTCCACAATGCTTTAATAGCAAAGATAGAGCTAAATCCGCGCTTCACAATTGTTTCGGAATGAATTCCACCATTGTTTTGAGCTTCCGTTCCTTATTGAATCCTGAACAACAATGAATTGAATCTGCAGGAAATCTAAGGTGCGAACAACCGTCAGAGTACCGGCGATTAGCTCGCGGATCGCCGATATCCCGCCGGACGAGTATTCATGGAGGAAGTACGGCCAGAAGCCAATCAAAGGTTCCCCATACCCACGGTAACCGCCATTAATCATCTCTAGCAATCGATTCTCAAATCTACCGTCATTTATCACCGACTAACAGTCTCGATTTCTCCTCAACCAGGGGCTACTACAAATGCAGCACCGTAAGGGGTTGTCCGGCGAGGAAGCACGTGGAGAGGGCCAACGACGAACCGTCGATGCTTATCGTAACCTACGAGGGCGAGCACCGCCACTCTCCGGCGTCTTCTACGGCTGCCGGAGCTCCGTCGCGGTTGGTGGTGTTCGAATCGTCGTGATAGGTTTGCGAAAACGAAGGCCGTGTTTTGTAATTTCTGAAAGTTAGAGGGGCCGGTTCGGAAGAGTTTAGGAAATAGAATTTGGGGTGTTTGTGTAAATTTGGTAGGAAAGAAGGGACAGGTGAGCAAAAACATTGGGAACAATATTTGTTAGTTTTTTTTTTAATCAATGGAGCGATGACTTTGAGTTTTTTCTTTTTTTATTAAATTATAATTTCGTGCTTTGGATTCCTTCATTATTTATTGCGTTTGATTAATAAGGGATTATAATATCTGATTATTTATTTAAATAAAAAATAGTTGGTGTCGAAAGTCAAAAAGATTGTGCCTTTAAAAAAAGGGTTGGAGTTTGGTAACAGCTGCACGTCGTCACGTTGGACTTTTGTGCCAATAATTTCTTTGCTATATTTGACCATCATTTATTATTTTATGTTTTTAAACTTAATATTTATTTTATTATTTGAGTGGTATTGTTAGACTGTGTGTGTTTTTTTTTTTTATATTTATAATTAAATTTGGTATAACACAAGTAAATTAAAAATATATTTTTATATATAATTAATATAAATAAAAATATTTATTTATTAAGAGAAAAATAAAAAAAATTAAATGATAATTAAATTAATTTATATTTATTAAATATATTTTATTTTAATAAATTATATAAAAAATATAAATGATTATGAAATATATATATATATATATAATCGATTAAGATAGAATAGAGTGAGTAATGTATATATATATATTTCGTTGTCATACCAGTTTGACCTTTCTAATTTGTACCCATTCGCTGGCCAGCGGCAGCGACTGACCAGATATTTCGGTGTGTGAATTAATTATTCTTTAAATATTAGTATAATAGTATTATTTTAATTTAATTATTTTTAGACTGAAATAATTACTGTAATAAAAAAAATTATTACGTCCAAACATGGTATAACAATCAGGAAAGGGGATTTCTTCTACCTATTGAGTTGCTTACCTTACCTTTCGTGGATAATTTGGTGGTTTAGAGAACATGAAAGTACTAAGTTTAAATGGTTTGTTTGTTTGAAATATTTTACCAAAATTCTACTATTTATCCAAATTTTTTCTCACAAAAATATCAAATCAAACACCTATTTTTTATTTTTTATATTATACTAAAAAATAATTTTACATTCAAAACGTCACATCAACACCTATTTATATCACATTATACAACTATTTAAATTCAAAATTTTTACTATTCAAATTCCAACTCAGAATCCAAACCTCCAAACAAACACACCCATGTCTCTTGATTTTGCTTGTCATAAATAATTTGTCTAGTTTTTTCATTCAACTAGAGTGAATTATTTAGTTGATGTAAAAAAAAATATATAACGCCTGTGTCATGTAAATATTTAGTTTTGGGACAGTGTTTAAAAAATAATAATATTTTAATTATAACGAAGAGTTAAAAATAATTAATGATATTTTTGTTCTTATTTATTTTTATTATTATTTTTTTTTTGTAAAAGTAAGGATGTTATCTAAAGTAGGGGATATTTGTGAAAAAATTAAAGTATTTAATAAAATATTTACTTGTAATTGGACCTCCCAAAATAGAAATATGTATATTTTCAACGACGAATTAAGTAATATTCTATCCATCTGATATAGTAATTTGTAATTTTATTTTTTAAAAATATGATTATATATTTTAATTATATTTTAAAATTTAAAATTTTTAATTAAATTATCTAGTTAATTTAATTTTAATTTATAATTAATTTTATTATATAATAATTATTTACTAATATATATAATTTTTTAATGAAGGAATAAAATATACTCTTATTATACAAACACATCCAATAATTAGAATATGTAATTAAAACGGTAATAATGGTAACTGTTTGGGTAATATAATACGGAAAAAAGAAAGTAATAATTACATACAGATCTATCTTTAATAAGATAAATTAATGAAAGCTAAGTTAGTGCCGAAAGCAGCAGCAGCAGCAGCTTCAACAATGCACAGCAAAATCGAAACCAAGCTACGCACCGTCAGCCACGCCGGCCTACTCATCGGAACACCGATTTAGGGTTCTTCTCTCGCATTTCGATCAGATCCAATTAGTTTCGGTAACTTCCTCACCACTGATTTACTCGAAGGAAAACGTGAGGTATTTTTGATTTCGTCATTGATTCTAGGTGTAAACTTGATGATTCGATGGTCAGTAACTTTAAATTTGAGTAATTAATAAGTAGAGTATTGATTTTACGAATTGCGATGGATGAAGGCAGTCAAAAATTGATTTCCGTAAGGGAACTGTTGAAAGCCAATGTAGAGGAATCCATGGCTTTAGGATTGTCTCTGCAAAAGTCTGAGATTAGGTTAACCGAAATTAGGCAAAGGCTGCCTTCATTGGAGGTGTCCGTACAGCCAATTCGTTGTGAGCGTGACGCTCTCGATGCAGTCGGAGGTCACATCGATCGAGCAGTTGTTCCATCGACTGCTGTTCTGAAGGTTTTCGATGCAATCCATGGGCTTGAGAAGTCGTTGCCCGATCCAGAGAATGATCTCCAGGGGTACCTCGGCGTGCTGCAACGCCTTCAAGAGGCAATTAGGTTTTTGGGGGAGAATTGTGGAATGGCAATCCAATGGTTGGGAGACATCGTGGAGTATTTGGAGGATCATAACGTCGCCGACGAGTCGTTTATCTTCGGATTAAAGGATTCGTTGAGTAGTCTTGTTGACGTCGAGGGGGGCGAGGAGAGAGGCTGCCTTGATGGAGGACTACTCGAGGCTGCGCTCGATCAGTTAGAAAATGAGTTTAAGCGTCTGCTAATGGCGAACACGGTGCCATTGCCGATGTCATCTCCGGCCAAACAAGCTTGCATCGCGCCGTCTCCATTGCCGGTAGCTGTTGTTCATAAGTTGCAGGCGATATTAGGAAGATTGATTGCACACGGTCGTCTCGAAAAGTGTGTGTCGGTTTATATCGAGGTTAGGAGCTCGAATGTTCGGGCAAGTCTGCAGGCGCTTGGATTGGACTATCTTGAAATATCTGCGTCCGAATTCGATGATGTCGGTAGCATCGAAGGCTACATATCGCAGTGGGGAAGGCATTTGGAGTTTGCGGTGAAGCATCTTTTCGAAGCGGAGTATAAACTCTGCAACGAAGTGTTTGAACGGATAGGAACGGATGTTTGGAAGAGCTATTTCGCGAAAATTGCTGCGCAGGCGGGAATTCTCGCGTTTCTAAATTTCGGTAAAACGGTTACCGAGAGTAAGAAGGATCCGATCAAGCTGCTGAAACTCCTCGACATTTTTGCTTCATTAAGCAACCTGAGATTAGACTTTAACCGTCTCTTTGGGGGCGGGACCTGCACCGAGATCCAAAACTTGACTCGGGATTTAATTAAAAGGGTGATCGAAGGCGCCTGCGAGATTTTTTGGGAGCTTTTGGTTCAAGTCGAGTTGCAAAGACACACGCCGCCGCCTTCCGACTGCAGCGTACCTCGAGTGGTGGCTTTTATTACGGATTACTGCAATAAGCTTCTCGGAGACAACTACAAGCCGATACTTACGCAAATTTTGGTCATCGAAAGAAGTTGGAAGAACGAAAAGTTCCAAGAGAGGATTCTTCTAACCGAGCTTCTCAAATTAGTTTCGGCAATTGGAGTGAACTTGGACATGTGGGCTAACGTTTACGACGAAGCTGCAAAGTCCTATCTGTTCTTGATGAACAATCATTGGCACTTGTACAAGCATCTGAAAGGCACTAAGCTAGGCGGTCTTGTTGGCGATTCTTCGATGAGGGAGCATGAGCAATACGCAGGGTATTACTTCAGCATGTTTTTACACGAGAGTTGGGGAAAACTTCCTGCTCTTTTAAGCCGGGAAGGACTGATCATGTGTTCTAGTGGACGTGCGACTGCTCGTAATTTGGTGAAACAACGGTTGAAATGTTTCAATGAAGCGGTTGATGACATGTTAAGGAAGCACACAAGCTTGACCGTTGCTGATAAAGATTTGCGGGAGAAGACTTGCCAGGCTGTAATTCAGACGATTGTGCCTGTTTACCGGAGCTACATGCAGAATTATGGACCATTAGTCGAACAGGACCAGAGTGCGAGCAAATACATGAAGTATTCTGCGTTGTCTTTGGAGCAGAAATTGGGCTGTCTTTTCTATCCGAGGCCGGCGAAGTGTAACAGTTTAAAGGCGAGGCATCCGAGTGGGAAACTCAACAATGGTGTCATGGAGTAATGGCAAACCTCGCCAATGGTTTAAGCGAAATATATTTGAAAGGTTTACAGCCGGTGTGTATATATTGGCGAAATACTTTTCTGGGACAATGTGGCGTATTTTTCGACAACGAGGTTTTTTCCATCCTTTTATACAATCAAATTTATTGGCAATATTTGAGTTAGTTTCATGTTCTTATTTTTTCGCAATGGTAATAAATCTTCTTTCGTTTAATGAACACACAAATTGTGTAGTTGTTAGTTACTTGAGATTACGTTGGTTCTGAGGCTCGATTAGCAGTTCAATTTCATTAGGTAACGGTATTATGGGAATTTGGTAGCTGTAAAACTTGTAAATGTAAGAATTGTCGAAGGAAATCATTGTTACAATAGAAATGCATTCCTTGTTCATGTTCGATATCTCTGCTGATTCTCTTTCTGTATTCGTGTTTTAACTTGGCTATCTCTGATGTGTAATTGATTTCTGTAAATGGATAGTATGAATCTTGAATGTTGCCTAATGTCGAATTTAGTTGCAACTAGTAGTGATTAGTTTGAGGATTTCTTGTCCTCAAACTGCGATCTAAAGTAGTTAATGGTTATAATGCCGCAACTTTAATTTACATCTTTCTCTAGAGACTACTTATCTGCCATAAATGCCGCAGTATGAATCCTTAAATGATGCTATAAGATCAAAGACTTAGCTAGCTAAATCGAGAGGTAACGGTTGTATTTTTGTTGCTTTATTTTCGAAATCAGCGTTAGTGCCGAAGTAAATAGAATGCATCTTAGTTAGGTAGACCGTTCGCCATCACACACTACACACACGACACGGTGTCTTGCATTCTCACCAATGCATGCGATCGAAGCTCCACCTGTTGAAATTCCACGCCATGCGCAATCAATCCGCGCCACGCCATCGAGGCAAGCGTCGCTCGTCGATTGACCGCATGCAAGAAATTCGACACCTGTTGCTCCATCTCCGCCTATAAAAGACGCGCCCCCCCTCTCGGGGATTCACAACCACACTTATTCACAATCCAATCAATTCCGACGGTGTTTAAGTCTCTCGTGCCGCAACAATGATTCCCGGAGGAGATCCCTACAGGTTTGCCGATACTTTCATTCTTTCATTCACATTTCTCGATTCTAATATTACCTAAAAATCTGTCTGCAGTTCACCAGGCGACCGCCGGATTTTCCTAATCCGGCATCCTCCCATGATGAAGATGAACATACTCCAATCGAGGAGGATTATATATACTCACACACCAGGCAGTCGAATTCCCGGCTGCCTTGGGTCTGCCTGGTGTGTCTGAACCACTCCCGCCTGTAACGTTAGTTGTTTTTCAACATTATTCTCTCCGAGCATAGAACACTTGCATGTAACGACGCATACATAGATATATATATATATATATATGATCTTGCAGGCGAGGCCTATCCAGATATTACAACGAGGATGATGCATGGACGGCGAGGAGAAAGAGCGGGTGCCTCTTCTTCTTGGGCCTCCATATCTGGGAGGGCCTCGCTTTTGACGGGAGTAATGAATGCAGTGGCAGAAGAAGCAGCTGCTGCAGATCAAAGCTGTCCCTGTCTCCGCCATGGCAGGAGAGGAATACAGACCTCTCCCTGCAACTTCCATGGCCGGCACCGGCGGAAGAGTTCTATGCTCAGATTCAGACTCGTGTTGCTGTTACAGAACTCTTTTCTGTTTGTTTGTTTGATTTTGTTCATTGAGTTTGTATGAAAGTTGGTTAGTTGATTCATTGGTTGTAATGTTTTGAGATATTTTTTATGTAGTTTTTAAATGAATTATATTTGATTTTAATAATATATAATAATAATTTAATCAAAATATATATATATATATATATATATAGTGGGGAGGGGGTGAGCGGTTACACTTACAGAAGTAAACACAGCTCGATTAGTGCGATACCATTCCGATCGGAGCGACGGCTTGACGGAAAGCAGCCTGTACTGGTCGGTGGCGCCGCGCCGGTGGAGTTGTGACGGAGTTTGGGAACTCGACGTCTGGTGATTTAGTGTTTGCTATGCTGCACTGAAGTTTTAACTTAATCTAATATCCGTACCTTTTCGATTTTATGCTCCGATACTGCGTTTTGCAGTGATTTTTCTGTTTTTGGTATCGAGCTGGTAATGTTTTCAGTTTTCGATCTGTATGTTTGATTGAGAGATGTTTTGCTGGATGAGATTTTGGTCTCGATCCAGAGCCCACTCGAGTGAAACAATTTTAGTGAGGTTATCAAAAATTTGCAGAGAATTTGGCTTTGAAATCTGATGGAATGATAGTGCAAGTAAAGGTCATGGTATTGTATTGATTTCTAAGTCCTAAAAAATTGATCTCATAGCTGTGGACTGTGATGTGCTCTTTAATATCCAAACAAATTAAGATAACATCTGTGTTATATTATCGTAGGGACTGTAGATTTTCCTTTTGCAATTTCCTTGAATAATTATCTGGGAACAGTCGTATTTAGAATCCTTAAATGATGTCTAAGTTCATCTCATAATGTCCCTGGGTGCCATCACTGCATAATTTGATTCTTGAACAATATTTCATGTCAATTGCTGGAACTATAATTGGTTTAGATTTTGATTATTGAACACCAATTGGACAATACCTCGGCTGATAATTGTTATGGTTGATCGTGCCTCAAGGTCTGTCTGTAGGTTGTATGTGAGGGATGAAGGAACTTGAATTCTTCGTTTTAATGTGGTTCAAATTTGATTGGCAATCCAAAGGTTTTGCTTTTGTGACGGTGCTTTTTATCTTGACGAATAAGACGAGTGTGTTCGAGTTGTATGAATATAAGCTATAGGGAACGGAATTCTGGATCCTGAGTGGAGTTGAAATTAGTTTTAAAACTTTCATCACAGAGGATGAGAGGAGCCTAGGATATATTAATTTGATGTTATTAATTTGCTCAAGATGTAGGAGTGGTCTGGAGGAACTTGAGCTCTTTATATTAATGTGGTTCGAATTTCATCTGCAATTCAAAGGTTTTTACTTTGTTAGTGCTTTTTCTCCTGTAGATTAAGAAGAGTTTGTTCTATTGGTATGAATATAAACTATAGCATACGACTTTTGGATCCTGAGTGTTGGAGTTGAAACTTGAAATTACTTTTTCTATTATAAAACTTTTGAAACAGAGGAGCCTGTGATATACTCTCTCCGCCCGGAATAATTACACTATTGGATAGGTACATAGACTAAGAAATAATGATATTTTAATATTAAAGTGAGATAGGTAAAAAGTAAGCGGCAGGTATTACAGAAAATTTACTAAAAAGTTGATAAAAAAGTAGTGAGATAAGTAGAAAAATAATGACAATAGTTATTATTTGTTAAACTAGGAGTAATAAATTTATAGGTGAACAAAGTTGTTTACTATAAATATACTACACATAAGTTTAGGGACAACCAAAAAAGAAAGATTGGCATAATTATTCCGGACGTAGAGATTATTAATTTAATGTTATTAATTTGATTGAGATGTAGGAGTTGTATAGAGGAACTTGAATTCATTTTGTTAATGCGGTTCAAAATTTCATCTGCAATCCAAAGGTTTTTACTTTTGTCACAGTGCTTTTTATCCTGTAGAACAAGAAGAATGTGTTAGAATTGTATGAATATAAAGGGAATTTTGGATCCTGAGTGTTGGAGTTGAATTAGTTTCTGTATTAAAATTTTCAAAACAGAGGAGCCTAGGATATATTAATTTGATGTTACTAATTTTCTCGAGATGTAGGAGTGGTAGCCGAGATTAATCTAGTTGCTTGGCTTGTCAATGAACAGGGGGATGTGCATTTACTCGAGCCTTTTTACCGTTCTAATTTGCTTTCCTTCTGAAAGTGTGTATGCCTATTAGAAACACAATTAATTTGCAGATTGATAGGCTTTTGAATTTTGGCTTCTTCCGCTCATTCATCTTCCCCTTCCCGCCTATGCGCTTTACTGTCTTTATTTTGAATTTCCAATGCCGTTAAATGTCATTTTCAATTCATGATACGTGTTGCATTTCGATACTGCATGCTGTTGATGCTCCAAGTGTCAAAATTTTGGTCCATGCACAACCTATACGCGCCACGCATCGATGTACGTGTCGCATATTTGCGCGCTGCATGTGAGAAATTCAACACGTGTCCGCCCTCCTTTGCTTATAAATAACATCTCAAGCGTTCGAGCTGTATGCTTGAGTCAATCCAGATGCAATTTCAGTCTCTTGTTCTCTTTCGATGATGTTTGGAGGAGAAGCAATAGGTATGAAATAAAAACTCATCTGAGTTTCTGTGTTTTTCATTCTTTTCTTACATATATGCTGATAGCCCTTGATTTGAAATCATTAAGTTCCCTAATTTTTGTGCCGACTTGTTCCTTTTCGCAGTATACGCTGCAGCACTTGCAGTAATCAATGTGCGATGGAAAGTGGCCATAGTCGCATTACTGCACCACCTCCTGGAAATGTCGATTGGTAGTATTAATGTTTATGTATATTCTGCGTCTTCTATCTTTTGTTTTATTCTTTCTTATGGTAGCGATTAGTATGTGCCGGATTTTGGAAGAAATTTGGTGGGATTAATTGATACTCGGTTTTGATGTTCTTGATTTGGTAGCGTATGCCTCTGCATCGATGACCTGAATAGATATCGCTCAATACTACCGTTTTTGTGATATATTTTGAGTAGATCCACACAGATTTTTAGCATAATATGCCGGCAGCCGAGTTTTTCCTCTTTGTTCTTAAATTATTACCATCTATAAAATCTTTCTAAAAATCAGAGGTCTTTTTTCTGTCTGTGCTCTCAGAATTCTGCCGTTATGCGTAAGAATTGTGTGTAAAGTGGTTCTTTGGTTGTATACTTTGAATGCCCGATAAATATAGAAGAGTTTGAAGTTTCAGATCAAAATACCCATTGGAACTTTTCTTGCTGAGTATTTCTTTCTCGGTCCTTAATTGTTGTCGATGATTGTCGTGATTGTCTATGCTTTCAATGTTCTATTTCAGACGATGATGTAATTTTTTGTTAGAAGTTTCCGATGGGGGGTTATATCAACTACTAACACGAATATTTTGCTCTTGCATTGCAGTTTCCATGGATCGGATGCTATCGAATCATTACGACTTAAAAGTTTACGTTCGGCGAGTGGCTCAAGAACGGCACATGGGTGTCGATGAGCCAATGTCCTCTCAGTCCAAATCGGACACAAACAAGAGACCTTCTTCACTAGGCGTTATGAACTCGTGGAGAAGGGTCAAGGGAGGGATATAAGCTCGGCCGATTGCCAGCTCCCCAGCTCGGAAATAAAGAGCTATCTGAGAAGTTCCAGCGCCAAAGAACTCGACCTGGTGGAGCCTCTACAATGAGGATGATGGCTTCTCTGGCCTCATTCGCCATCACTGTAGCTCCGCAGCTGGGGCTATGCTGGCATGGATAAAGAGTCGAACCCGACGTTCGACCAGATGAAACCCATTGCCGAAAGGTATATCGAGCTCCCTCTCCGAAGATGCTCTGGGTTTCGTGGGATCTCCGAAGCCGTATCCCCGTGTCTCGAACCGGATCTCTCGCATCCAGTTCGAGACACTTCGGAAATTCACTTGTCATAGGAATGGGGACGGAAACAACGATTTCGCTACGGAATCTAGTGAAGTTCCAATGCAATAAGATAACGTCGGTATTCAGTTCGAGGCACCTTGAAATCCCGCTCGTCGAGGAACCGTTTCAATGGTCTCGCTACAGAATCTAGTGAAGTTCCAATGCAGTAAGATAACGTCGGTATTCAGTTCGAGACACATTGAAAGCCCGTGTGTCGCGGAACCATTTCGATGATCTCGGACAATCAAAAAAGTTACGTTCAAAATATCACATCAAATACTTCCCTCGGCCGCAAGTGCGGCCACGAACTCCTCAATGCTCGTATCTGAGCTCCCCCCTTCATCCATGGCTTCCCGCGCCAATTCCTTCCATTTCGTCGCGTTCCTCTTCATCTCCTCGCTCTCTGTTGCCTCCTTAACGCACTCGGCAACAGTGTTGCGCCCCACCACCCCGTTTTCCCCGGCCACGACCCTAACTCCTGTTCCCCACATATCTTTTATGTACTTGGCATTCGTCGGCTGATCCGTCCACTGTGGCATTGCCACCACTGGCACGCCGAGGCTCAGCGCCTCCAGCGTCGAGTTCCATCCACAGTGCGTGATAAAGCAGGCGGTTGCCACGTGGCCTAATATATCTAGCTGTGGGCCCCACGGGACAACCAACCCATTCTCCGATTGGGTGAACCCCTCTGGCAGCTTCGACTGCTCCGCCAGCCGGACCACCCATAAAAAGTGGCGGCCGCTGAGTTTCAGGCCCCACGCCAGCTCCTCCATCTGGTCGGGGCCTAATTGAGCCAGACTCCCGAAAGACACGTACACGACGGAGTTAGGGTCACGGCGGCTTAGCCAGTCGAGGCAGGTGGCGGTGGCTGGAGCGTACATGTTCAGGCCGTAGTCACGGTCGCCGGAGAGGCGCTTGTCCAAGTGCATTGAGGGTATTGCCGGACCGATCGCCTTTACCGGCAATGAAAGCTTCTCCATGTAATCAATTACCTGAAAATTGTTATTATATGAATAAATTTCCATTATTGTTCTGATTTTATTTTTTCGATATATTATTGATTTTGTTCCTTTACTGTCTACATTGTTTCCAGTGAAAAAAAAATAAAATTATATTTTTCTGTGAAAATATATTTTACTTAAATAAAATTATAATTTTTCAAAATATTTTCATAATTTATAATTTTAATAATAAAAATTTCAAATACTAAAAGAAGAAATTCATAATATGCAATGAACATCTAAAAAAAGGCTAAAATATTCAATAATAATAATAAACTCAAATACAAAGAACATATATTTTTTTTCTCTTAAAAAAATTCAATTAAATATCTCTTTTTTTTTTAATTAAAATTTGAAATTTCTATCTAAATCAAGCATATGTACTTGTAATTTCTTAATGTTTAATAAAAAAAAAATATATTTTTTTCAATATTATAAAATATAGAGTTTATATTTAACTATGAGTTTATTTTAAAATTAATAATACAAATCAAAATTTACAAAACAAATGGGCTCGACCTTATTCTCCAATTGGTAGAATGTGTTGAAGAACAGCCACTGGGCCTTCCCCACGGCCTGAAACTGGTCCACCAACATCTCAAATATGGGCGGGTACTGCCCATACCCGGACCCACACACGAACGACGGCAAGTCCGCCGGCGTCAGCGCCGGAAGTCCAGGAATCAGAATCTCCTCCTCGTCGCCGGAGAACGGAACTCCGACATTCCCCAGGTACACTTCATGGAAGATCTGGTCGACGGCGCAGGACTGAGTGAAGAACGCCGCCGCGGCGATGCCGAGATCTGCCGCGACGTCCAGCGCCGCCGTCAGAATGGAATCGTAGACGACGCAGGCCACCGGCGGGCCGGAGGAGCCGACCACCGTCTGTACGGATTCCTTCAAATTGGGGGGCACGGTTTCGAGGAATCGATGGATGAGTTCGTTGACGCTGACTCCCGGCGGGGGGCCGTCGTCGAATCCGTCGGAGTAGGTGGCGGCGGAGATGCCGGCGTCGGAGGAGAGGGGGGCGATTTTGGCGACGAATTTGGAGAGGAGGAAAGTGACGCGGACGGACTTGTGGCGGAGGCGCTTGGCGAATTGGAGCATAGGGTTTATGTGGCCGATGAGAGGGTAGGGTATGAATATGCAGTGTGCTCTGTACGGCTCCTCTTCATTTGCTCCGGCGGCGGCTGCGGCCATGGACGGCGGCGATAATGGAGGTGCGGATCTTATCTTTGGTTAGAAAGGGATGTGTTAGTATATGCGTTTCGTTAATTTATAACTGAATTTTGCGGCTTCACTTCATTTATTATTATTGTTATTGTTATTATTATTAATTACTATTTGTTAAATTTGATAACATTAAAAAATTTTACTACGTTTTTATATATAATTATTTTTTTTAGTACTTCCTCCGTCCACAAATTAATCTCTTATTTTTTTATTTGGACGTTCAACAACTATTGTCCTATTTTCTCTTTTAAACACAAATTTTATATTTTTACCCTTCGTTCATTTATTACTTTTAATCTCTACTATACAATTAAGAGCAAATTTGCCAATTTATAACAAAAAAAAAAAACAATCACTGAAAAACCGTACAAATATACATACTTAGGACAATATAAATTAGACGGAGGGAATATTATTTATTAATAATAATTTTTTAAAATATTATAATATAAAAAATATATACACTCTCTCCGTCCCACATAAAATATTTATAATTTTTTATTTTAATCTGTTTTATATAATTTATTATTTTTTTCATTTAATGATATTTAAAAATTTATAATTATAATTTTTTAAATTTTAATTAAATTATTTAGTTATTAATTAATTTTAATTTATTATTATTTTATTATATAATAATTATTTTTACGGATATATTTTTTTAATTATGTATTAATAATAGTATAGTGTATATATATTTAAATTTTTATAATAATTAAACAAATTTTAATTTAAAAATTCTTATCTATACAAGTCTTGTCAAACTTATTATTATAGTCTATTTTTAAAAATAATTTATGGCAAGTGTATTGAATCCTTAAAACTTTTAAAGTGAATTATTATACTTTATTAAATATTTAAATAATTACCTGAATAAATTTTGTAAGCATTAATCACATGCTTAAAACTTTAAAACCTAACACTATAAATTTATAGCTGATGTCAGTCATTAGGCAATCAACAGAGCTCAAGCTCGAGCAACAATGGCGGACTGCAGAGAGGATGAAAGGATCCCCCATTGTTTAGTGCTCACATTCTCCCTTCAAGGTCTCGTAAATCTTATGCTCCAATTCGCCAGGCGTCTTAAAGCCAAAGGACTTCGAATCACCTTCGTCGTCTACAAATCATTCCTCAAAACCCTAATCGATTCCACCGCCGCCTCTTCCTTCGAATTTCCGGTGGAGTCAATCACCGACGGCATCGATAGAGAAATTCTTACCAAGGAGATCTTCGAACGCGCCTGGAAAACCTCGTCGGAGTCGCTGGAGAACCTGCTGAAGAACCTCCGGAGCTCCGGCGCCGGCGCCGTCTGCATCATCTACGACTCTTTGTTGGTAAATTTGACGTGGTTGAAACGCCAAATTGTGCGTCATTTTTTTATGTTGGTATTGCTTCTTTTTTTCTTTTTTTTTTTTCTTTCAATTTTAAAATTTATTTTTTTCTAGTTTTTAAAATAAATTATTTTAAATTATCAAAATAAAAGATTGTTTAAATTAATAGGAAAAATTAAATATTGAAAAATAATAGTGAAAAATGAAATTATGATTGAAATAAAATGACTATAACAACTGCATATTCGAAGTTAAAACTTGATAAATGAAATTGATAAATTGAAAATGACCTAAAATGCTAAGCTACTAAACATTGTTTTATTTGTTTACCCAAAATTTTTTAATGTACTTTTAAAAAAAAATTAACATACTTTATATATTTATTATTTTTTATATTATTTATATAATATTTATACATTACATAATTTTTTTTTTATCATTTTAGTTCTGTAAGTGGAGCATCTGGCAAACTAGTTCCACAAGTGAAAAATTTTCGCTGTTTTAGTCCTCCGGAAGGTGTCGCTGACCTTGTGGGACACCTGATGGACACGTCACCTCCGGCGAGCCACACGGACATCTCCGGCGCCGGAGGACTAAAACAGCGAAAATTTTTCACTTATGGGACTAGTTTGCGACATGGTCCACTTACGGGACTAAAATGATGGAGTCCAGTTATGGGACTAAAAAAACAGTTTACCTTTTTTTTTTTTTTTGAACTATAACATAAAACAAATTCACGTTAAAAGAAAATAATTGGCAGCACTCCGGACGCCTCAGGTCGCCTGTAATATATGGTTTGTTTAGTGTGACTTTTTCGTTGAATTTGATTTGCAGAGTATTAGATTTAGTTAGGAATTTACTTAGCGTGCATTTTTGGATAAAAAAAAAAAAAAAACACAATCGACAGCACGATTTAATGCCCTCATGTATTTCCTACCTGAAACTAATCACCATTTATATTTCTATTGTTTTTCTTTCTATTTTTCAAAGTTTACTTTTGCTATATTTTCAGTCCCGAATTTATTGCATTTTAAGTTATCAATCGCAATACAATAAAAATTTATTGTTAAAATCGTACTATTTACCAGAAAATATTCTACTTTTGGAAGAGAAATTTTTAATACTATAATATAAAAAAATAAAAAATAGTTGTGTAAGTAAATAATTTTAATTTTAATTTTTTTTTGCTAAATAGTATAATTTTAACAAAATTTTTCAAAAAAACATACTATATAAATTTTTATATTTAAATTAAAATTGATAAAATATTCTACTATTATTATTACTATTAATTTTATCTATTTTAACTATATTTGCCTACTTTAAATTCAAAATATATTTTTTTAAAAGAAATAACAAAAAAATAAAATTTTAGATCAAAACAGAGAGGTACATAGCATGATCATATATAATTGTATATGATCGAGTAATTTTCGGATCAACTGCCATGTTACATTCATGTCCACGTTAATAATTTTCGTTAATTTTTTAACAAATTGAACCAAAATTAATGAAATTATTTATAATTAGACCAAACTTGTTTGAAATGATTTATAATGTAATTAAAATTAATAAATTTTTTATATTAAAACTAAAATTTATTTTTTTGCAATTAATTATTTAATAAACGGAGTCCCCCCCGCAAACGTGGCAAATTATGCAAACATATGGCATGAGTAATAATTAATTTATGGACCCATTAATGAGTGCAGCTACAAATTCTTGAATGTTCTTATCGGAACTCCCGCCGTCGTCCACCGCCTCCCTCGCCGCCTTCCGCCATTTCTGCGACCTCCTTCTGATCTCCGCCGCCGCCGCCCCTTCCATCACATGCTTAATGCACCGAAAAATTTCTTCTTCTCCGACGAGTCCTCCCCCGTCCGCCGCCGCTCTGACCCCCGTCCCCCACACATCCGCCACCAATTTGGCGTTCGTGAACTGGTCGCTCCACTGCGGCAGCGCCACCGCCGGCACGCCGGAGCAGATCGCCTCCAGCGTCGAGTTCCAGCCGCAGTGCGTCACGAAGCACCCCACCGCCGCGTGTGACAGAACCTCCAGCTGATTGCACCACCGCACGATGAGACCTTTCTCCGACGTCTCCTCTCTGTAACTCCGGGGAAGCTTCGATTCCTCCGACGCCCTAACCACCCACAGGAATCTTGCCGGAATTCGCTTCAGTGCGGCGGCGATTTCTCCGATTTGCTCCGATTCCGGCCGCGCGAAGCTCCCAAACGACACGTATACAACCGATCCGACGTCGTTTTGGTCCAGCCAGTCCGTACACTCGTCGGTAACCGCCTTAAATGCGCTCAGACCGTACTCCCTGTCGCCGGAGATTCTCCCGTCGGTGTACGCCGACGGTACCGTCGGCCCGATCGGCCTCGTTGGCGTCATCTTCCCCATCCAATCACTGACCTCGCGCTCCAATTCGTAGAACGTATTGACGAACATCCAGTCGACCATATCGACATTGGAGAATTGCTTTGTCATGATCTCGAGCTTCAACGGTTCCGATGGATAATTTTGTACGAACGACGGCAGATCCGCCGGCGTCATCACCGGCAGTCCGCCGGAAATTCGAATCTCTTGATCGGAGATCGGGAGCTTCAGCTCGCGATTGTGAGCACTGAAATAAATTGCGTTTACCGAATTAGACTGCGTGAAAAACGCCGCCGCCGTGACGGCGGCGGCCTTCGCGACGTAGGGCACCCAATAGCAGAAGGAGTCGTAGATGACACAGTCGGCGCCGGCGCCGGAGCTCCGAAGCTTCTTCAGCAGGTGCTCCAGCGACTCCGACGAGGTTTTCCAGGCGTGTTCGGCGATCTCCTTGGAAACACTTTTGTAGTCCACGCCGTCGTCGAATCCGTCGGTGATTGGCTCCACCGGAAATTCGAAGGAAGAGGCGGCGGCGGAATCGTGTAGGGTTTTGAGGAATGATTTGTAGACGACGAAGGTGATTCGAAGTCCTTTGGATCTGAGACGCCTGGAGAATTGGAGCATAGGATTGACGTGACCTTGAAGGGAGAATGGGAGCACTAAACAGTGGGGGATCCTTTCTTCCTCTCCACAGTCCGCCATTGTTGCTCGAGCTTGTGCTCTGTTCATTTTCTATGGACTTTATATAAATTAAATAGTTTTAGATTTGATTTTTTATTTGTTATTATTATTATTATTTTATAATTAAAGAAATTAAAACGCTTTCTTTAATTATTTTATTTAATTTTTTGTCTTTATTTTTTATTTTGGTCCGTCAACATAACTAGTCTTTTGTATAAAAATATAATTATTTATTTTAATCGCATTTTAAAAAATTTATTTATTTTATTTTAATATATAATTATTTTTACTAATATATTTTTTAATTATTTATTAATTATATTTCACGTAATTATCATACATTCTAGTAATAAGCCCATAATATCTGAAACTGAGAGAATAATATTTTTGTTTTAAATAATTATAAATATTTATTATACTTTCTCTTCATCCATATATATGACATTTAATGAATTTGTAATAAAAAGTAATATAATGAGGCGGACGAATAAGGCGGCCGATGCGGAGGTTGGACAAAGAAATGTTGGACGAAGAAAGATAAGGCGACCGATGCGGAGGTCGAACAAATGAAAGACGAGCTAAGGGAGAAGAAGCAATGGATGCGCAGGTAGGATGAAAAGCGGTTTCAAAGCGGTTGGAAGAAATTACAAATGACAATCGGATACGAATGCACGATCTGATAACTACATTTGGGCGGTTGACATGGGGTTTTAAATAGGTATTTTCATAACCTAAAAAATGGATCTTCAATCGACATGTGAATTTCTTTACTTTTACCGTCTGTAGTATTTTTTTAAAATTTTTATTTTGTATAGAAATTCTTAATCTCATATATTTATTTAATCAAATTTGAAAAAATAATTTTTATTTTCAAATTTTACTTTTTATTGTTAAAAATTTGTATCAACAAAATTAAAATTAAAATAATTAAATAATTTTATTAAAATAAAAAAAAATTAAATTTTATAATATAATTAGAATATATAATTATATTTCAAATAAATAACAAATTGTATTGAATGAATCAAAATATAAAAAGTCCATAAATGACGTAGAACGTAAAGGATATTTTAGAAAATAATAATAATAATAATAAATATTATTTAATAAAAATTTTAAATTTAAATCAATACCAAACAAATCTTGAAAGTCTAAATTGGGATACGTTGCACGCAAGTAATTGAATTAATGCACCAGTTAAAGCTTGACTTGACTTGAGTTGCTTTAGAAATGCGTTATTTTATTACGTAATACTCCCTCCTCCGTCCTGTAAACGCGTGCTCATTTGATCGGATATAAATTTTAATAAAAATAATTATTAATTATTAATTTTTTTATAATAAAAAATAGTATAAAAATAAAATAATCTTTTACTTAAAAAAAAATAAAAATATATTTCGATGACAATAAACAAAATAAATATAAATTTAAATGACAGAGAAAATAATAATTTTTATTTCATTTTTTTTAGTATATAAATTTCTATTATTAGTTTTAAAAATTATATTAAATAGTTATAGATATAAACATATAGTACAATTTATATTAATATTTTTTTTATCTATAATATTTTTAAAAATTATAACAATAATAAAAGAACAGTGTGTAAATCTTTATTTCCATCATATAGGAATCATTATAATATAATATTCTATATAAAAAGATAATCATGTAGTATAATGATATAAATTCAATTTTTTATTTTATTTTATTTTAATTAAATTATATTTAATTTTAGATTATGTGATGAGAAAAAAAATGTATTCTTTTATAGTAAAAACTTGAAAAATTCACAAAAATATTACTCCCCTTATGTTCCAATACAAAAAATTTACTCCATCCGTCCCACATACCATGACCACGTTGACGTTTCTATCCGTCTCACATTCCATGTCACTTTCTTTTTTTTGAAAATGATTACACACTTTAATCTCATTTTAAACTTTTTAATTTATTTTTTTAATTTTAATTAAACTAATTAGTTATCTTAATCTTAATTTATAATTATTTGTATTATAGAATAATTATTCTCTCACTAATTATATTCTTAATTATTGACTAATTACACCCCTTCTAAAATATTGCATCTACAGTATACAAGACAAGACACTGTATATGGGACGGAAGAAGTATTTGTTTCTACAAATGGATATAAAGTAAAGAATTAAAAATAATTTTACTAAAATTATAGTAATATTGTATAAATATAATAGAAATGTGAAGATATTTGTTGTAAAGTGGGGACTACAAATCACAATGACTATTTTTAGAAACAAAATTATTGTTTCCAAATTTGATAGAAATATTAAAGTATGTTCAACCATAAAAAAAAACTAACTCAGATACACGATAATTGAATTTGAGTTTAAATTTTTAATTTAATTATGTATACAAATCAACACGAACTTTATAGATTAATAAATGAGTTTGTGGAGTTATTTTTGACTAATGACAAGTGAGGCCGATAATGCACAAACCCGCACAATCCGAAATCCGGATCCTGTAACCCGAACTAGATCCGGTCTTCTGTGAAACCGGCGGTCCACAGCTGAACCGAACCCGATCCGGTTCAGTGGCTTATATATAAAGGGGCAGGGGGGCCCGGTTTTAGAGATATACCCAGACTCTCACTCACTTTTGCATATTCTCTCTCCCCGACTCTCAAATCTTCTCTCTAGAAGCCCTAATCGCGACGACGGTTTCCTGCGATCTTCCTTGAGTCCTCTCCGGTGATCTGTCCGGTGATTCGACTGGTTTGACTGAGCTCCTTGATAAGCAGCCTGTGCTGAGGTTGTTCCTCGGTTCGATTTACGATTTCGAGCATTCATTTACAGTGTATTGATTAGATTGTCTGTTGTGAAGGGTTAAGCTTAAATCGTTTGTGTTTTCATTAGATCGTGGTCTGGTTCGCATGTTTGTTGCGTTTCCGTGAATGTCGGTTGTGTTTGGGTTGTTATTGTGCATTACAGTGTGTGTTAGGATTGATTTTATATTGGGTAACCTAAGTCCGAGCATTTGCTTTCGTTTAATAAAAGATTCTTTATGTTCTTTGGTTTAATTCGTGTGTTTCTTGTATATATATATGACATATTGATCTTGAATATGTAACAACAGAGTTGAATAATGGTTGATGTTCTCAACTCGAATGAGACGACAATCCGATTATAATAAATTAGTATTAATTCAAGCTAATTCACTATATTTATATTACACTATAATAGACAAAACTAATATAAGATGAAAAAATATACATCCAACACAAAATAATTGAATTTGTGTAAAAATTTCTAACTTATATTGAATTAATACGAATCCGACGTAATAATAAACATATCGAATTAAAGTTGAGTGATTTGTCGTTAAAACAATCATAGTGTATTACTCATTCTGTCCCACTTAATTTGTCTATTTTTTTCATATCCGTTCGTTTCACATAAACTGTCGTTTTTTCTTTTTTGAAAATATAATTATATATTTTAATCGTATTTTAAAATTTAAATTTATAATTTTTTAAATTAAAATATTTATTTATAATTATTTATATTATATTATAATTATTTTTATTGATACAAATTTTAATTATTTATTAATTATATAATATTTAAAACTCCGTATTTCAATTAAAATAAATAAATAATTAACTAGACCGAAAGGAGTAAAAGCGTGGAATTGTTGTTTTATTTCAAGCGATTCTAGAAAGATACGACTATTATTTTTAATTATAAATATATATATCTAAATATATATATTTATGACATTAATGATGAGATTTGGCACATGAAATTGGATGTGTTTGTTTGGGGTTTGGATTTTGGATTTTGGATTTTGGAGTGAGATTTGAATAGTAAAAATTTTGAATTTGAATAGTTATATGTTGTTATATAAATAGGTATTGATGTGATGTTTTGAATGTAAAATTGATTTTTAGTATAATATAAAAAATAAAAAATAGATGTTTAATTTGATATTTTTGAAAATTTTTTTTGAATAAATAGTAAAATTTTGACAAAATCCTACCAACGAACACACCCTAATGATTAGCTGAGTCAGCATAACGTTTATTCATCTAATTAAACAATATGTTAAAAACCTGAAGCAATAAACTTTTAATTCAGAAAAACAATTGGGTTTGTTTAGAAAGATGTTTTTGAAAATTTGAAAAAAATAAAAATTAATATTTTATTTGATATTTTGTGAAAAAAAATATTTGATTTAATATATTTTAAAAAATAAATAGTGTCAAATAAATAAAATAACGAATGAATCTCAAACAAAATGTTTCAATTGTTATTCTAAAAAATAATAATAAATTATAAATTTTTTTTTATAAAAGTTAAAAAGTCAATAAACTTTGTATTCTTATTTCTAAAAAAAGTTAATATTTAATTTAATTATATTTTATATTATTGACATAAATATTTAAGAACAAATTAAATTGTGTAAACAAGAAAATTCTACTATTAAATAATAATAATAATAAAATCGTTGTTAATGATTAAAAAAAATAAAATAAAAGGTGACAGTCTGTCGGCCAACAATGAATTGACAAATACCAAATTAATATGGTCCACATTATATGATCATATACTCATATACTCCCTCTGTTGAAAGTTTTAGTTTCCGGGCAAGCTTGTGGATTACTTTTGCATATAAATTTTTAAATATTAGTATTATAATAAGTTGTAATGAAAAAGATAAAATTGTTTCTATTAGTATTGTGTAATATAAAAATAATGATATTTGTGTAATATAATATATAATATATATATTAATTACTTCCACCGTCCCATTGAAAGGTTACAATTTTCTATTTTCGTCCGTCCTAAAACAAGGTTATCCTTTCCTAATTTAGTAATTGTATTACCTACTTAACATAATAAATAATCATTCAACTTACAATATATTACACAAATGCCATTACTTTTATATTACACCATACTAATAAGGATATTTTCGTTTTTTTTTACTACAATCCAATATAATAATAATATTAAAAAATCTATATACAAAAAACAAACACCACCCTTCCAACAGAAAGGAGGACATATTACTTCAAATTATTAAGAATTAAAACACTCATATAAAATATAATATATAATATCATAATTCATCATTATTAATTAATTTCATTTTATTTATCTTTAATATGGTATCATAATTAAATAAGTCATTTGCTCTCTTTCTATATATATAATATCTAGTTACTCTTTTTATTTTTTTAAAGAAATCTTTTTCATAACACGTCTAATTTTAATTCCTTCAATTATATATAAATAAAAGCAGCGTGCAGGTAACCTAGGTTTATCTTTTCTTTAAATATGTAAACTTTGTTCATTAATTAATTTTTATTTTTTTTTTATGATATTTATATTTTATAGTATTACACAAAATATTTTTAAATCAAATGACACAAGTTTTCACACGTCGCCAAAAAAAAAAATAATAATAATAATAAAAAAAATCAAATTTAAATATTAAACAAACAAACCTATATATATATATTGTAAACGTAATGTCTACATATACATTATGTAGTACACACGTCAAGGATATGTGGATGCTGTTGTACCATTCTTGTGGCAGACCTACGCCTATAAATATATGTACATGTGCGAGGAATCGATGAATTAATTCTCATGTTCTCTTACTCATTCTCTCTCTTAGCATTTATCTTCCAACATCATACATATATATATATATATTATAATATATATAATTACTTATTAATAATATAATACTTATACCTTGTATAAATATATACAATTATATATATCATCATATCAGTGTGATTAGCGGTAGAAATAATTAATATTCTATTGGTTAATTTTATATTAATATTACAACAATATATATATATATAAATATTATATTTTCTCAATGTCAATTCTATTGATATAATTTTTTTGGTCACCTCACTTTACTTGATACTCACTCTATCCCACCACAATTAACACTATTTTTATTTTTGTTTGTCCCATAATAATTGATACTTTTCTATTTTGGTAAAAATTATTAAACCAAAATATATTTCACAAATATAAATCAACTTAATTGACTACATAACATACAACATCGTAAATGACGTAGACCCACTCAAAATCTCTTTATTTCTAATTCTCTCATACAATTTTTTTTATCTATATTTAAAATTACATATCTTTTATCAAATTGATTTATGTTAATTATAAATAAATAATTTTTTTTTTATTTACTTGTATTATAGAAGATTTTATTCTCTACAAAATGATATCCATATTACATATATTTTTTAATTGCTATATAATTTTTAAATATTTAAATATATATTTTAAATTTTTAATTATATATATTAAATTTACTTTAAAACTATAAATATTATTAATTATACAAAAAATGATATAATAAAATCAAAATTAATTATTATTAACTAATTAAACATTTTTACCTTAAATACAACATCCCTAATCAAAGGGTTCAATTCTATAGAACGGAGGGAATACATTTTTAGTAAATTTATTTGACATATTTAATAAATATAAAACTTAATTAAAATTATAAAATCTTACATGCAGAGCCTACACAAAATTTCATTATTTTTTATATATCTCTTAAATTAATTTAATTAAATTTTTAATATCGAATTTATTCAAAAGAAATTTATTCTTTTCTTCTTCAATGAAGAATTATTTTTATTTCCACTTAAAACTTTCTATATAACTTTTTTAAAGAAATATTGTATATTAATTATAAATAAATAACCTTTTCTATTTAATTGTATTATATAATTTTTTTTCCTTAAAAAATAGTATCCATATTTTATAATTTTACTGAAATATAAAATTTATAATATATATTCTATTTTTTAATCGTATATATTAATTTTATTTTAAAAATATCAACACTACTATTCAAATAAAAAATAAATAAATTAATATTCTAACATATATCTAATTCAATTATAAAAATAAATACACTAATATTATAAAATATATCTAATAAATATAATATTATAATACTCATATAATATAAAAATTAATTAAATATTATTATTTTTTAAATTTATATATTATTACTTGAAAACTTAAAATTATAATTAAGATATTAAATTTAAAAATTTAATTTTTAATTATACTAAATTATTAAATAAAATTTAATATTAAATAATTTTATTTTTAATTTATATATTACTTTTAAATAAAAAAATTAAAATATAAATAATGAATGTTAAAAATATATTTTCTATACAATAATTTTGAAGCTTAAAAAGAAATTAAAAAAATTTTATAAAAAAATACTATTATATTAATAATATTTTATTTTAAATAAGTATTTTAATTACAGCAAAAAGAAAGCAGTCCAATGACATTTTTATATTTATTTTTATTTTTTTATAAAAATAATAATATAATATAAAGTAAATATATTTATAAAAAAATAGAATATTTAATAAAATAATTAATTTGTAATTTTACATCCCAAACTAGAAATATTGTAGAAGGGAGTATTATATGCTGCTGTTATTAAAAATTTATCCAAAATTTTGACTTATTATTTAGTCTTTCTTTTTAATTAATCACTGAAATTAGAAAATTTAAAAATTAGAATCAAGTCGCCTTACCAGTATTATCATTTATCTCCTCATTCCGGCGAAGGGAGTAGCCGGCGCCGGTGGATACCGTGCTTCCGATGATGCTGCGATTTTGTTCCGTAAAATATAATTCCGGCACTCCCTATTTGCACAGAGCGCTCCTTCTGGTCTCTAATCCGATTGCTGTTTCGCTGACATTCGATTTATTCGGTTTCTGCATTTGAACTCCAGTGCTGTTTTTATACGAATTCATGTGCGTGCAGTTTCTTGTTTTTGATTTTCTAATAGCTAAAGAAATTCCTCGTAGCTATGGAATTTCGCTGGGCATAATTGCTCCTCACCTTTCCAACTAACGGATTCACTGGTGATTCGACCAGGGCACGAAGGTATAATGAAATCAATTCTCTCTTTGTTTGTTTGGTTAGTTTAACATGTTTTGTAGTGATTCCTTGTGTGGTGATGGAGAAACCCATATTTTTGAACCCTTTCCATGAATCAATTTTCAGGAGCTTTTATAAATTTTGAAGTGACACAGGTTCACCTTCAATGTTGAGCACTGTTACACCTTATTGGTTTTTGCTGTTTATGTTTTCACAGGGATAGACTCATTTGGTGATTGGGTATATGGTACCTTGTAAGTAGTATCATTGTGTTATATATAAATGTATGTATATATTAGTTCTTCTTTGTGTGTATGATTAATATAACTTGATTCTTTCATATAAATGTTAAAAATTATAGTATGGGCTCATTGAGGATGAATTTGGGTGCATGTTTTGGTTGTTTTGAGGGCCAAATCACATCACATTGCTGTCAGTTACATTTCCAGACACATGAGAACATGTAGACACATTTTTTGGCTATGGTATTGAGTATGAGAGTGCAATCTCGAAACAGTTTTATTAAACTGAACCCTGCTTTTCCTGTAGTTAAGTTTTAGTTTGAAGGATTGAGAGTGCATTGGTAGATACTTTGTTAACTAAATTACTTGGTTGCTTAATTTTACCATATAAACTAATAAAACACAACTATGATGTTTAGAATTAGAGTTCCGTATGGCCTTATTTTTTAAGAATTAGGCTCCGCTTCACTAGCAAATATGATCTCATTTTTTATTAGTTTCAAGTATTGAAAAGATAATAATAATCTAGAACGTAATTTGACACATATGGCAGTAAATGATATCCCGGATTTACTCTAAAATCATCAGCCATTTTCTAGGCTACTGATGATTGTGAGCGGCTGTCTTTTGTGACTTATTTTATTAAATGAGTAATGTGCTTATGAATGCATTCTTGCCGTGAAGATGCTTTATATTATCAATGGAAGTGTTAAGGTGTTATATTACATAAAATTAATTATAATGTGTAAATTTTATAGTTACTCTGTACTGGTTTTACCTCATACTTGCATGTGCTGCCCTAGACCTTCTATTCACAAAGAAGATATTTTAAACATTGTGATCTTTCTGTGATATATCAATTTATTTTATTTTTCTGTAGGGAGAAACAATTGTAATGTCAGTACTTTCATACTGTTGATGAAGCATTGGAGGTTAGAGGGAGAGGGCGCCGATTGAATGAAGCGAAGCCTATTATGAACCAAATATGGAGAACATTTTTGTCCTATGCATTCATTGCATATATTTCTCTTTGGCAAGCTTTTCTAACAATATCCACAGTGTTTGATAACATCCGGTTAGTTTTGTTAAGTTTTTCTATTATTTCTTGCCCCTAACTATGCGTGTAATCTTAAGAAATCGTATTCAGGAGCTTGAAAGTGTGGGACTTCGGACATGAGATGTTTTAGCCCATATTTTTATTCACAGTTGACAATTTGAGCACCTTGTATGGCGATATGAAAAATTGTTCACTTGCTAAATTTGGACATCATTTATGACCCAGATGAACTACCTCCGCCCAAGGATTCGCTCAGGAATGCAAACGGAGGTGAAGAAAGAATGTCATAGGAAGACAGAAGATTACAACAGTTAATCAACTCAAGCCAGGCAAAGCCACATTGTGAGTTTCTAAACTATGACTCGAAAAATGATCTATTTCGGAAGTGAACTTTAATTGCCTAAAATAGTTTTTGTGGTTTGGGTCCAGACTTGTTAACCAGAGTAATTGTTACCGCATGACCATAAATTGCTCTAAGATTTTATTCTAGTTAATCACCAACTAACGGGTCGCATTGTTATGGTGTAGCGTAGTCCCACATCGGATTTTCAACAAAGTCTATTTCCTTTAATGGATATAAATACGGAGGTGGTGCTTAGTCCCACATCGGATTCTTAACAAATGCTCTTTTCCTTAATTGGCTATAAATATAGCAGGTGTTGATAAGTTTAAGCACACAAAACAGAAGAGCTTTCGTCGTCTGTATGCGTTTTTGGGCAATTCTAAAGGTACTTTCTTCCTTAATTATGTACTTTTTTGTGCATTTTCTTTCTTTCTTTCATTATTTTTATACTGTTTGTCCTTGCATTGTTATTTTGTTCTAAATACGCTTTATACTCTAGGATTATATATTTTCTATACATAGTGGCTTATATTCGTTAGTTTATCTGGATTGTAGTTTTTAATGTTTATTTTTATCTTAGTATAGTTTTTGGATAATGTTTTTGCTCCTTTGCTTGTTTTGGTTTCATTCGAGGCTTTCCCTCTTTGCAAAAATGTTTTTAGCAAAAACTTATATTTTTGCTCTTAACTATTTCTATTATGTTTTATTATTGTATCTATTTCAAGCTTAACCTGATATCTAACAACTTGATTATTTTTGTATAATCGTATAATTCTAATGCTATTTTCTTATTTTGTTTATGCATAGGATGCACTATGATGTTCTTTGTATGCGCAATGAGAGAGCGCTCGGACGACATAAAACTTCGGAGATAATTGATGACGTTGTGCACATAAAATTGACACTAATTATGCCTTTTGAAAAAAACAATAATTCTCGAGAGTGCATTGATTTTAGTTGTCTTATGTGCATTTTACGCGTGCTCATATCTTTGGCAAGCTTTTCTAATTTGAGTCCCAGGTGTCATGCGGACGGCTCTATCTTTGGCAAGCCTTTCTAACATGGATTCCTTGGCGTGCCTAGATGTAAGTTCACAAATATTGCAATATATTCAAGGACATTCGAGATTTTATTCGAAGCCATTTATTTAACGACTAATATAATTATTTTGTATTGCAGGAAGATGTCCGCATGACTGTGGCGATGCCTTCACACCTGCGCGACCATTATAAGGGTGTTTGTAGCTGCTGTAGCGGCACCAACATCCCCCAAGAGAGCGGTAAGAATGTTCAAAATGGCTGATATATTTGAACTCGTATATTGGAGGTGGAGTAGCCTCATCTAAAGTTGCTTCACTAACTGATCGAGCTCGATTAAGATTTCTTTTGGGTATTTGGTGTGTTTGGTTATGTATGAAGTAGCCTTGAGACTTTTTGGTCGATATTAAGTTATAATAAAATTCCCGGCATTTGTGCGGGACCTTTCCACGTTATTTCTTTTGTTTGTTATTTTTTGGCTTATCATCTTTCTCTGTTATTCAACATGTATTCTTTTTTATCGGATTTGTTACTTCAGAAATTGAGCTCGACATGATATATGATATTCATATGGTATCTATTTGAATGAAAAATAAATAAAAATTGAAGAATTTAATTGTGAGCTAATTCAAAGGTTTCTTGCTAACTAAAAATATTAATTGATACTTTCTAAAATCTACTGTTTCACAACAACATACGTAACAAATACTATAAATTAATTAATTGCGTGCACTGAAAATCCTTTAATTTATATTTTTATCCTTAATAAATAAATATTTTTATTTATCTTTAAAATTTATTTTATTTTATAAAACTAATTTATATTAAGCATAAATAAATATATATTTTGTGTTATATAAAATTTTATTAAGATATAATTTTTAAAATATTTAAATATATATTTTATTTTTTTAAATCATATTTATTGATTTTTAATTTAAAACCAAAAACAACAATATTCATATATAAAAATAATTATTAATAAAATAATAATAGTATTAATATTATTAACTAATCAAATTTTATTATTTTAAATATCCTATAGTCATTTGTTTCGAGACCATGGGAGTATTTTATCTTTTGAAAAAGAAAGAATAAAAATTAAAGAATTTTAATTATATCATCTTTGATTTAAATTTGAAATTGAATCTTTAATTTATTTTTTTTAATTTAAATAATATTTTAATTTAATAAAAATATTTTCATAAAAATTCATATAAAAATAAATAGTGAAAATTTAATTTTAAATCAAAATCAAATAAACACAAATTCCAATTTAAAGAAAGAACGAAAAAAAATACTATTTCCATCCGCTTTTAATATATATATACAAACTTTTAGCACGCTAAATTTAAAATATTAATATTTAGTTAAAGATAAATATATATTTTAGTAAAAATAATAGGAAAATTTAAATTAAATAAAAAATAAAAATATTTGTAATTGGTTATAAAATTAATAATTACTTATATATATATAAATGAAAATATGTATATTAATGCTCGAGTATTTTCTCTATATATAAAAAAAATAGAATTATGGGCTGCAAAATTGTAAAGTAGCCCAATGATTTCTTAACCCAATTGCTACCGCGCCCAGATGAAACCCTAATTAGGGAGGCACGTTCTCCGCCGCGCTTCCAATCTTGATTCTGTGCGCCCGCTGACTGGTGGCTAACTCTCATCTCTATTTCGCCTCTTCGGTCTTCTCCAATTCTGGCGATTCTGAATTTTAGGGTTTTTTCAATTGAGGATTTATGTGTAGGTAATTCCTCTTCAATTTTGTTTTATGTAAATTGGTAAAAGAAGGAATTGCTACAAAGAATATGAAATGAAATTATGAAATTAGTATTACTCTGTTTGGCGTAGCGTAAGAAATTGTAATGATTGTTTGAATATTGATGGAGATTGGAACTATAGAAGGGCTCTCATATAATAACAGCTAATATATATGGATGGATTAAATGACGTTTTGATCATTGATTTTCTATTATCAGAAAACACCATTTTAGTGGTAACACTGCAGATTCTATCAGACAAATAAGTTAATTCAACAAGTTTGATATATTATAAATTCTAGTTGATGATGAGCATATACATAGGTTGCTCAAACATGAGCTCGTTTGTATCAAGCAAGGCTTACTGACTCCTTGATTGGATCTATGTTAGAACCTTTTGGCTTTAATGAATGTGTACATAGACAATGACATTCAAACACAACTATCATGTTTTAGTATTAAATTTTTGTATGGCCTTATTTTGGAAGAATTAGGCTTGCTTCACTAGCACATATGATCTCAGTTTTTATTCATTACGAGTATTGAAAGGGTAAATTTGGCATACATGGCAGTAAATACCGAATAAATGTGTGACATAGAGATAGATACTTCCAATTATTTTTGCCGTATGTACACGTCACAGTCAAGGTTGTTATGCCACCTTGCATTGAGTTAGGTTCTTGTTTTAATCATTCTCATTCAACGCAACACATATAGATCGATACGATTGAGGTATGCCCATAGATCTGAATGCCTATAAATATGCCTCTAATTTCATTATTAATATATCTAAAAAATTTCTCTTAGAATTTTTACAGCAACTATCCCAGTTCTACTCTCAAGTCATCGGCTATTATCTAGGCTACTGATGATTGTGAGCGGCTGTCTTCATAGGATTGTGACTTATTTTATAAAATGAGTATGTAATGTGCTTATGAATGCATTATTGCCGTAAAGATGCTTTTATATTATCTATGGATGTGTAAAGGTTTTGTCTAAATTACATAAAGGTAATTACATAATTTATGTAAAATTTTTTATAGTTACTCATTACTAGTTTTTATCTTAGGCTTGCATTTGTTTAAACTCAATCGTTATTGTGAAATATAATCAATCAGTACAGAAATTATAAGGCCAATACTTGCACTTATTACCCTAGATCTTCCAATGCAAACGCATATGCAAAGAAGAAATAACTGAATAATAGGTTTTTTTTTTTAATCGGAAACTGGATAATAGCGTTTATTCTTGGTTTCTATTGACGAAGAGAAAATGTTAAACATTGTGATCTTTTTGTGATATATCTATTCATTTTATAGGTGGAAACGATTGGAATGTTCATACGCTCATGCTATTGATGAAACATCGGAGATTGGGGGAGAGGGCATGGATCGAATGCATAGGTTCTATTATGAACCAAATATGGACATTATATATGTTCTAAGCATTCATTACATAGATTTGTCTTTGGCAAACTTTTCTAACAATATTCCCAGTTCACGACAACATCCGGTAAGTTTATTTCTTTTGTATTTTCTTGCCCCCTAACTATGCTTGCAATCTCAAGAAATAAAATATATGGAGGTATACAAGTGTATTGTTCGATAATTTGTTAACACAACTAACTTGATTTCCAAAATTTTACCACGTATGGTATGTAACATTGAATGATCATATGACATCGTTCTTGATGATAATAAATGAGAGACAACCTGACGTCCTGAAAAAACTTAGTAGCCAAACATACAAAAAAATTTCAATTACGTGAATCGCATTTTGATGTAAGTCCTTTTTTGCTTAGGTGTATCTTAGAGGATTGTTAATTCCCAAGGCATTGTTACCACATGACAATGGAAGTTTGCCCTAAGAATTCGTTTTAGTTAGTCATCAACTAATGAGTTCACATTGTTATGTTGTGGCTTAGTCCCACATCGGATTTGCAACAAATTCTTTTTCCTTTAGTTGGATATAAATGCGGAGGTGGCATCGTCCCACATCGACTTCTTAACAAATGTGTTTCTCTTTAGTTGGATATAAATGTGGAGGTAGCATCGTCCCACATCGACTTTTTAACAAATGTGTTTCTCCTTAGTTGGCTATAAATACGGTAGGTGCTGATAAACTTAAGCATACAAAATCCAGAGAGCTTTAGTGGACTGGATGCGCGTTTGGGCAATTCTAAAGGTATTTTTCTTTCTTAATTATCTACTTTTTGCGTATCTTCTTTCTTTCTTTTTTCATTATGTTTTAACCTTTTGTGCTTGCATTTTTGTTTTGTTGTAAATACTCTCTAGATTTTAGAATTATATATCTTTAATTCATAGTGGTTTATCTTTGTTTGTTTCTTTGGATTGTAGTCTTTAATGGTTATTTGTATTATAGTATTGTCTTTGGATAATGTTTTTGATCCTTGTGTGTTCCGGGTTGCATTATCTTTCATCGGACACTTTCCCTCTTCGGAAAACTTATATTTGTGCTTGAATTACATCTGTTATGTTGTATTATTATATCTAATTTTTTTGTCTTTTTTTAAATAGTTCATAATTTTCTTGAAGATAGTAGATATTCTCAAGTTTAAGATGATATCTAACAACTTGATTATTTCTTATTAATACCAATGCTATTTTTTTATTTTCTTTATGCATAGGATGCACTATGATGTTCTTTATATGCGCAATGAGAGAGCAGTCGGAGAACATAAGATTTCGGAGGTTATGGATGATGCAGTGCACATTAATTTGATATTAATCATGTCTCTTGAAAAAAAAGTAATTTGATATCTTTGGCAAGTTTTTCTAAACACAACCCTGGACAACAGCACAGGATCGCCTCTATCTTTGGCAAGCCTTTCTAACAAGGGTTTCTTGGCGTGCCAAAGTGTCGTAAGTTAGCAAATGTTGCAATCTTTTAAAGGAAATTCAGGATTTTTTTAAAATCCATTCATTTAAATTTTAAATGACTAATGTGATTCTTTTGTACTGTAGACAAACTTGATTCCAAACAGCTTGTATGGTCATAGTATGACCATTGCTCTGCTGTTGGCTGTTTCGTCTGGGCCACCATTAGAGAGTGTTTGTAGCAGTAATGCCGCAACAGCGTTGCGAGAATGTATATGGCCAAGATGCGCAAGCGACGCAACAGAGGCGGAGACGGAGGACATCATCTAAGTTGCCACTCCAATATATATTAAGGTTTATTAAAAATTGGTGATTTTGGGTGTAGATAAACTCACCCTGAGTTCGTAAAAACAAATGTTACGAGAATTATGAATGTATGTTTGGTCGATGTAATTCAAATTTTACTTATAATAAAATCTCCGGCATTTGCATGGGAACTTTCCACGTTAATTCTTTCTCTTGTTGTTTGTTTGCTTTTGGTTCTTCTGTGGTTATTATTATTATTTTTATGTAAAATTTATTTTAAGATTCATGGAGGGTTACCAACTTCTCGATCAAAATTTTACCGATATTTTTTGGATCGAGTTTGTCACCCAAAGTCACCAAGTGTGGGTGGCTTTTGCAGCTATTGCTTTTGTAACTTGAGGTTACCATTTTAAATTTATCACATGTGAGTATCATATTATTTATTTATTTATTTATTTATTTTTGCATATTATTATGTTCGTTTGAAATTTATCCATACTTACTAAGAGAAAGAAAAAATACTAATAATCCAGGCCAATCCTCACTTTGGAGGAGCCAGGGGCAACACAAAAACATGGGCTTTTGAATATATATAAATAATATTTTTTTATTTATAATAAAAATTTAAATAATTAAATAAAAATATTATTTTTTAATATTTTTAGATGAAAAAATAGTATTAAATTAAAATCTATGACCTCTTCGTTACAAACTAACCTCTCATTTATATTGGACCCTGGACGGGCGCCCTCTCCCCGGCCTTGAGTTGATCCAAATTCGTGCAAAACTAAAAAAGTTAATTTCCCACTCTATTTTGTATAATATATATTATCTTAAATATATTATACATTAGTTTAGTTGAGAAAAACAAATGGCAAAATTGGTTATTATTGGCCAACAAAAAAGGAAAAGTTAAGGGTGTGTTTTTTAGGGGGGTTTGGAGAAATTTGAGATTGAGTTTGGTTTTTATTTGAATTTTAAAGTGAGTTTTAATTTATGTGTTCAGAGTCTGGGTTGGGTTTGGAGAGTTATGATGTGTATTGATTTGATGGTAATGCATATAATAATATAAATGTATATTAATTTGTATAATTCTATATAAATTTATTTTTATTTGTATTGATTTGATGGTAATGTGTATTTTTATATCTACATATATATTTATAATTTTTTTATTTATTTGTATTATAAAATTTTTTATTTTAAATAAAATGACATATAACAACCCAAAACAATCCAAGTTTGGGTAATTTCACTGGGCTGAAAGAAACACGCCCTAAATAATAATAATAATAATAATAATAATCCACGCCCAGATGAACCCTAATTAGGGAGGGACGTTCTCTGCTGCTGCTGTCAATCTTGATTCCGTGCGGTGAGTAGTGGCTAACCCTAATCCCTGTCGCCTTTTCTACCTTCTCCAATTTTGGTGATTCTGAGGTCTAGGGTTTTTCTAATTGTGGATTTATGTCTAGGCAATTCGTCTTCAATTTTGTTGTGTAATTTGGCGAGGAAAAGAATTGCTGCTAAGAACATGAAATTATGAAATCAGCACTACCTTGTTCGGCATAGCTTAAGAAATTGCAATGAATCACTTAGACTTGCATGCATTTGTCTAAACTCAATCTTTATTATGCCAGATAATCAATCAGTACTGAACACATAGGCCAATACTTGCAGGTTCCCATGTTATTACTGGTTTTTATTGACAGGGAGAAAATATTTAACATTGTGATCTTTCCGTGATATATCTATTCATTTTATTTCTCTGTAGGCGGGAATGATTCGAATGTTAATATCGATGAAACATTGGAGATCGGGGGAAGAGGGCATGGATCGAATGCATCGGTTCCATCACAAACCAAACATTATATATGTTCTAAGCATTCATTGCATATATTTGTCTTTGGCAAGCTTTTCTAACAATATTCTCAGTTTACGACAACATCCAGTAAGTTTATTTTATTTTTTGGTTTTTCTTGCCACTAACTATGCTTGCAATCTCAAGAAATAAAATATATGGAGGTATACAAGTGTGTGTATAAATACATGATAATACATTTCTGTGAATGTTGTGAATGAAAAAAAATGCAGCCACCGAGTAGATGTGAGCGGACTACCTTTGTTTTTATAATTCTTTTTGGGTTTCATGTGATTGTGGAGCGTACTGTTCGATAATTTGTTAACACAACTAACTTGATTTCCAAAATTTTACCATGTATGGTATGTAACATTGAATGATCATATGGCATCGTTCTTGATGATAATAAGTGAGAGACAACCCGACATCCTGAAAAATCTTAGTAGCTAAACATACAGGATTTTCAATTACGTAAAACGCATTTTGGTAAAAGTCCTTCTTTGGCCAGTGTATCTTAAGAGGATTGTTAATTCCCAAGGAAATTTTACTACATGACAACGGAAGTTTGCTCTAAGAATTCATTTTAGTTAGTCATCAACTAACGAGTTCACATTGTTATGGTGTGAGTTAGTCCCACATCGGATTTGAAACAAATTCTTTTTCCTTTGGTTGAGTTTAAATGCAGAGGTGGCATGGTCCCACATCGGATTTGCAACAAATTCTTTTTCCTTTAGTTGGATATAAATGCGGAGGTGGCATGTTCCACATCGACTTCTTAACAAATGTGTTTCTCCTTAGTTGGCTATATATACGGCAGGTGCCGATAAACTTAAGCATACAAGATCAAGAGAGCTTTCGTGGGCTGGATGCGCATTTGGGCGATTATAGAGGTACTTTTCTTTTTTAATTATGTACTTTTTGCATATTTTCTTTCTTTCATTATTTTTTAACCTTTTGTGCTTGCATTATTGTTTTGTTCTAAATACTCTCTAGAATTTAGAATTATATATCTTCCATTCATAGTGGCTTATCTTTGTTTACTTTTCTGGATTGTAGTTTTTAATGCTTATTTGTATCATAGTATGGTTTTAGTATAGTTTTTGGATAATGTTTTTGATCGGAGGTTTTCCCTTTTGGCAAAACTTACATTTGTAATGTTTTATTCTTAGATCTAATTTTTTTAAATGTATCGTAATTTTCTTAAGAGGACAATAGTTATTCTCAAGCTTGAGATGATATCTAAAAACTTGATTTTTTTTTTTTTTTTTTTTTTTTCGTATTAATGCCAATGCTATTTTCTAATTTTCTTTATACAGAGGATGCACTATGATGTTCTCTATATGCGCAATGAGAGAGCTTTCGGAGAACATAAAATTTCGGAGATTATGGATGACGCCGTGCACATTAATTTGACATTAATTATGCCTCTTGAAAATAAAGTTATTCTCAAGAGTGCATCGATTATAGATCTATTATGTGCATTTTACGCGTATTCATATCTTTGGCAAGCTTTTCTAAACACAATCCTGGACGACAGCAAGTGGCCGGCTCTATCTTTGGCAAGCCTTTCTAACAAGGGTTTCTTGGCCTGCCAAAGTGTGGTAAGTTCACAAATGTTTCATTTGAGATTTTATTTAAATTATTCATTTAAATGACTAATGTGATTCTTTTGCACTGCAGACCGTAGATCGACCCATTTCGAAAGTACTTGTATGATCTTAGTACGACCACTGCTCTGCTGCTGGCTGTTTCGTCCGGGCAGGCCACCATAAGAGAGTGTTTGTAGCAGTTATGCTGCGACACAGTTGCCAGATTGAGACTGGCAACGATGTTAAAATGACGGAGGTGGAGACATCATCTAAGTTGCCGCTCCAATATATGGTTGGCTATATATATATATTTATATTTATTAAGGTTTATCGGAAATTGGCGATTTGGGTGTAGATAAACTCACCCTGAGTTTGTAAACACAAGTTTCTTTAGAATTATGGATGTATGTATGGTCGATGTAATTCTATTTTACTTTTAATAAAATCCCCGGCATTTGCACGGGAAATTTCCACGTTAATTTTTTCTTTTGTTGTTTGTTGGCTTCTGGTTCTTTCTCGGTTATTCGGTTTTTTTTTTTTATGTAAAATTTATTTTAAGATACAAGATTTATCCAGTTGGGTTTAGGGTCTGGCCAATGGCATCTTGTTTGAACCTACCAATGGTTTGTAACTTTTGCCACATTATAAAAAAATTAAAAATTAAAGTAAGGTTTATCAAATTTACATGTAACGGGTGTCAAGTTGGTATGTTACTTGTAAAGGTAAGTTAACCATTTCGAATTTGTCACAGTGAGTATTTTTTTTTGCATACTATTATGGTTCACCCAGGATTTATCCCACACTTACTCAAAGAAAAGGAAGAATTGAAGAAATTTTTAAATTCCTACATAAAAAAAAGTTAATCACTTCTTATATGTTGTAAAAAATATTCTAATTTTACGATCTTAGGCTATTTGTCAAAAGTGTGCTACTATTATATATTCCCTCGGTCCAAAGGTCGTATTTGTATTGTAATTTAAGTATGTGTAATGATATATTTGTAATTTAAGTTAAAGTTTTGGTATTAATTTATAATTTCTTTTTACTAAGAAAAGTGATACTTTTGAATAAGATATACGAAAATGGTAAAAATAATATTTGGAATTGTAACGGAACAAGTATTTACTAAAAAAATCTTTATTTAAAATCTATTCTTACTATTTATTTATGTAAGTGTTAAAAACGAACTCAATATATATATTTTACTTTAATAAAAAAATTACATTATCAATTCTATAAAAAATTCAATGATATAGTTATAAAAAGTACAAAAATAATATCAAAATACTAAATATATATATATTTTGAGAACTCATTTATAAGACAGGAGAAATACTGCACAACAACAAAGAAAATATATATATATTTTTTTTATCCACTCGGGATCGAAATCGAAACCGTCACCCCTCTTAATTTACAAGGGTTTGATTTTTTTTTTTTTTTAAAAAAAACTTAAATAATAATCCATGCCCAGATGGAAACCTAATTAGGGATGGACGTTCTCCGCCGCACTACTGTTACGCTTCTTCCAATCTTGATTCATTCTGTGGTGGCAAACCCTAGTCGTTGTTTCGCCTTCTGAGTCTTCTCCAATTGTGGCGATTATGAGTTTTAGGGTTTTTCTAATTGGGGATTTATGTGTAGGTAATTCCTCTTCAATTTTGTTTGTTGTATAAATTGGTAAGAAAATGAATTGCTGCGAAGAGCATGAGATCATAAAATCAGCATTACCTTGTTTGGCGTA